GGGAGGGAAGGAAGAAAAGGAAACCGCCGCGCACACCTGTTAAGTCTTTTATAAACTTTCTCGTCCTGACAGTTTCAAGGTACAGTGGAACCCCGCCTTACGACCACCCCGTTTATAAGACCACCTCGTTATTACGGCCATATTCTTTGAAACCAAACGTAAAAACCATTGAGTCATTTTATTACAGTGGAACCCCGTTAATGCGACCACCGTTGGGCCATAAAATCCTGGTCGTAATAACGAGGTGGTCGCATTAACGGGGTCTTCAAAACAATAAAATGACTCAATGGTTTTTACGTTTGGTTTCAAAGAATATGGCCGTAATAACAAGGTGGTCTTATAAACGGGGTGGTCGTAAGGCGGGGTTCCACTGTATTTTGAAGACCCCGTTAATGCGACCACCTCGTTATTACGACCAGGATTTTATGGCCCAACGGTGGTCGCATTAACGGGGTTCCACTGTATAGAGTGTTTTCACATGACGTCACGGCGGCCATATTGGTGTCCCAAAACAATGAAACTGCGGCCATGTTGGTGTCCCAAACCAGTCCTGTGGGAGTTGAACTCCTTTCTTATGCAAACGCTTTGCATAGATGCTGGCCACGTGAGTGAAAACACTCTATTTAATTTACAGTGTCTGTTGCAGGTGTCGAATTAATCTTACAGCAACTGGAAACGTGGCCACGCCTGCTGAAACTGAGATTGCTTGTAGGATGAACGGCTATAGTTTGGTATATTCACGAGCGCGTTTTGTCCAGTGAACTGAGTGCGTAGTTTTTCTTAACGAAGGGATGGGGTGGGTCATGTGAATAGTTCAGGGAACGTTTGCTCTCTTTAGAGGGGGGGTATATTTGTTGATATCAGGAGTTCTGGGCTGGATAGAGTCGTTGTAAAGCTATTTTTGCTTCGGAGTATCGGTTTACCGGAAGCTGAGCAAGGAAAAGTCAATGGTGCATTTATGGAATAATAATAGAGATTCTCATGGTCTAACAGTGCGAAGATTAGACTTCTGGTAAGGTGGCAACGATCAAGGCCCGCATTATAATTCATAATAATTGAAGGTCATGATGTAAAAAAAGCGACTGAAATGGTGGATGCCATGCAATCCTCTCGGGTGAGGGCGGCGTACCTGGCCTTGTCGGTTGCCCCTGCGACAGAAGGCAAGCATGCCCAGATTGTCCACGGGTTGCTAAATGAGACCGTCCCTTTCTTAGTACCCGTTCCCTGTCTTAAAATTAGACCCGGGCAAATTTCTCGAGATTGCACCATCATTTTGGGCTTAAAGCTTCCAAAGTCTAACAATAATAGCCCATGTTCGCGACGGTCAGTCAAGTTCTTAAACCAGGCCTTAAACGGCCAGTTTTAAGTGTCGATAACAGTTAAAAAGGCATACAAGCCTCATGCAAAAGACAGTGGGAAGGAAGTGCACATCGGTGATGGGGAAAAAGGAGTAGCCCACAGTTATTTAGGGGTAGATCTTTCGAAACATTCTTATACTCTTGGACAGATATGCATTGTTTAAAGTTTTAGACAAACCAGGTGTAAATTTATAGTAACAAATTGTTAAATATACATCAGCAAGATTTTTGCGAATCCTATTTTTCGCTGGAAGACTATCGTTTACTGGCTGGTCACGCAATCAAAGGTAACGTACTTTCCTACGTTTGTTTACTCACCTTTCGCTCAGCAATACACTGCGTTCCACAAAGGATCCAAATTGCGCTAGAAATGTTTTGCTATTCGGCCCACTTTTTATCTCAGGTAAGGCACTGCAAAGCTGATTCACTCACGAAGATTCGAGGGAGAATTATTTCTTGATGTTATTCTGATTTCGCAGTCACGGGAAAACAGACCTAGACTCAGGTCCACTCGCAGACGCCATGGTACAATCTACAAGATCTCAAGAACAGAAATTACCCATTGAACGGCCTCTCCTTTTGAAGATTACGTGTATTTCATTAAAACAGGTACATATTAAAAGAATCTTGTTAGTTTCGCCCTTTTAACGAGCTCAAATCGATGCATAAAACTAAGGTGACGTGCACGTGTCAACTGACCCCGGGGTCAACTAGCGGTTGTTTGGGGCAAAATAACCTCAAAATAGTCAATCTGTTTTACAAGCGTTCGCGAGAACACCAGACTAACTTTCAAATAATGTTGAAGTACTATATCTCATTAGGTAGTAAGCGGGATTTGGGGTGATTTGGAGAATTCCCCCATATAGAAAATTCGATTTTGGTTTTAGCGGTAAATTGTTGTATTTAAGCATTATGCAAATTACGTTTCAAAATTGTGCTGGTTCGTCGATATTTTATGCTCTAAATCTAAAAAATGTGCCGTTCAGAAATTGTTAGATATCTGCTTTTTGAGATTTAAGTGGAAGATGGCCAATATATTCGCTCGTTTATGAAAGTCAGCTCATTTCTGTCGCTAGGCTATATTGCCGTGTTCGGCGGCTAATTTTAGGCCCGCAGACCGTTGAAATCGAAAATCTTAAATA